GAGGGGGCCATGCAATATCATGTGCTGGGCCTCTAGTAGTTATATAATTCATTAAGCTAATTTGAAAATATAAAAAATGTTTGGTCCAAATTGTGATAAAATTTCTTTTGCCACAATTTCCATCTATTTGGAGTTACTATATCTGAAGGCAATAAACTTTCATGTATTTATGAATTTATTAATGAGCTGATTCTGTTAAATCTTATAGTCAGTTATGTTCTGTGCATAAAATGGTCACCAGCCAAATCCTTGCACTCTTTGGGTCTTCACACTGCTGTGTCATCTGGTCAAAATGTACTTCCCTGGGCCCTTCTCAGGCCCAGCCAGACTTTGGGTCTCAGCTAGAGGCATTCCCTGAAACATCACCCTATCTGAAGAAGATTTCAAAGGGTCTCTGTTACACAGCTCAGTTTATTTGTGTCATAGTATTAATTACAATCAGTAGTTATCTTGAGTACTGGTTGTTGTGCTTCTTTACTGTTTTTCTCCTTGCAGTAGATCACAAGATCTCTGCAGGCAAGGACTTTATCTTTCTTGCTCACAGCCACTGTCTTCAGCACCTAGGACTATGTATTTATTGAAGGAACACAAAATTCTCCTTTGTTATGGTGGGCACCAAGGACCTATTCTCAGCCTCCTGTGCTCCTTTTGCCCTTCTAAATCCACTCTACTCTTTGTGTCTGACTCTGTGGCCTGGGAAATTAAAATTTGGCACTGTGTCAACTGGGCTTCCTCACACTCTGACTTTTATTGGGGGCTGGACAATAGAGGTGCTGGTATGAAACTGAGAAGAAGGGGAGTGAGGTCAGGCTATCTTTCTCCCAGGATCTCTTGAGGTAGAGTAACCACAGGCTGCTTCTTCCCCTTCACTGATAGCCTCAACCCTTTTCAAACAGCCCTCGCTGTCTCTGAGTCCTGCTCTTCCTCTTTCCCCTTCAGGGTCTAGAAATCAGCAGAAAGAATGAAAGAGAGGTTGGGGTATTGATTTCTTTCTTGCTGGCAGTACATTAACAGTAGCTGTATTTTAAAGTCCACAGTTCCAAACAGGTGGCCTACTGCTTCTCTTGCCACATTAGCTGTAGGGTTAGTAATGGTTTCCTGCTGTTGCCAACCCTGGGGTATTGCTCCATTCCTTGCCGATTTCCTTAAACTCTACCTACAACTTTGTAAATAGTCCTTTTATTCAACACTTGATTGAATAATTTGAGTACTTCTTTCCTAATGGTACCCTCAACTTACTGCCACCTGTGAAACAGGAAAGTTCACTAAGTGAAGTTTCTGTTGGATCTGCATTTCTAGTGTGATTACTACTAGTCACCTGTGAAACCAGGGATTGATTTTGACAAAACTGCTGACAGTTTTGTAAAGATGTACCTCCTGTTCTGTTTGTAGTTCAGTGTGCCTGCTCTGTAAGCTGATAAAGAAAGTTTGGACTATGCACTTGTCATGCAACTTTCAAGTGCTTCTGGTAAGATTTTGTCCAAGGATGGATAATAGGGTTGTTGTGAAAGAGAGGTCTAGATTCCTGAGGTTTTTGCAAGAATGTTAGAATTGAAATAAAGGAAGAAGCTTTCACCCCTTAATTCTGTGGGTAGTCTCCTTTCAGATCATCTTGTTTTGAGTTACATGCCCACATCTACTCCCTTCCTCCTGATGTCACCTTTGTAGATAAACACCCAAAATAAACCCACATGCAGAGAAATAGAACCATGGAGGATTGGGTTGACCTCCAAATCTGTGCAGATTTTAGTGGTGAACCCAAACTTGCTTAATCAAGTACAGTTGGGATGAACTTACATAGGATCACAGAGGCTTAGGGTTGGGATGAATCTTAAAAGTCATTAGTTCTCTCTCCCATGGAATTGGTCAATGCCAGTCAACTTCTCCAAGTCTTGCAAACTCTGCTTTAACAGCTGCATAGATGAGAGCCAGGGAATGAGTAGATTTTTTTTAAGATGGTCTGTTTGATCTTGGCTAGATTTAGGACATTGTTTCTTAAAAAGAGCTTTTTTTTTTAAGAAAAAAAGAAAAAATGGGGTTTAATTTAGCTCTTCTGTCCCTTCTCTGCCACCACCAGGTTGTTTGTGACTTTTCCTGGGTTGTTTGTGACTTTTCAGATTCCTAAATGGAACACTTAGTTGTAGTCTTGGATGCCACAGTGAATCCCTCCCATTTGCTGGGCACTGCAAGCTTTTAAGAGTGCTATGGGGTGCTTTGCACTTGTAGGTTAGACTGAGCTTATGGTGTGTCTTCATTTGTCTGACAGTGATAGAAGTGGCAATGCCAAAAGAGTATTTGGTTTTGCTCCTTTGGTAACTAGAATAGTGATTCCACTGGACCTGTTCACTTTTCCACTGTGCCTAAACATACTGGTATTATTGAATAGTTTTCAGGAATGCCATGATGTGGACTTCTTTAGCTCTTGTAGTGACCAGGCAGACAGGTAGTCATCTCTATCTATGAACTTTACCCAATTGCACCATACGAAAATGATAACTTCTTCCTGTGTACCACAATGGGATAAAGATTGGGAAGTATTATTCTCGCTCCCCCACAACTTTTCTCTTTCTGCATATTGCTGGTACTCATCACTTCTTGTTTCCTTGGTTTATAGATGATCATGATGCAGTCCTGAGGTTTAATGGGGCACCTACAGCCAACTTTCAACAGGATGTGGGCATGAAAACCACCATTCGCCTGATGAACTCTCAGGTAAAATTTCTTCATGCAGGTAGGGTTGTTTTGAAGAATAAGTGAGACAATCCATGCCAAGCAAGAAGTATCTGGCACATATGTCAGTAAATGTTAGCTACTCTAATATTTATGTGTGAGATGGGTATGGAGGATAGAATGGTGAGCAAAACAGACTTGGACTTGTTTTCATGTACTAACTGATACAATCAAATAGTCATACAAAGAAATTTAAAGTTGTAATTGAGAACCATAAAGGAGAGGGTCAAGATGCTAACAGAGTCCATAAGAGGTAAATTTTCCCTAGTCAAGGAAGTCAGGAAAAGTGAGGAGGGAGAGAAGAAGACAAGAAGGATGGTTCAAGAACTTTTCAAGGAGAGGCAACAGCGTAGGGAAGGCCATTTGTCTCTGAGAGGCAGAGAAATAGGGCAATCACTGTGGAGAGTTAACGGACCCAGAACCAGATTTTGTTATTTTAATTTTTTAGATTGGAGAGAATTGAATATGTTTAACAGTCAATGGGAAGATAGTCACAAAAGGACAAATATTGTATGATTCCACTTATAAGAAGTACCTAGAGTAGTCTATTCATAGAGACAGAAAGTAGGATGGTGGTTTCCAGCGCTTAGGGGGAGGGAGGAATTATTGTTTAATGGGCACAAAGTTTCAATATGGAAAGATGAAAATGTTCTGGAGATGGCTGGTGGTGCTGGTTGTACAACAGTGTGACTACATTTTATGTATATTTTACCACAATAAAAAAATTAACTCAATAAGGAGAAACTACTCAGTAGAGTGAGAAACTGATTATACTAAAAAGAGGAGAGAAGAAAGTGAAGGGGTAGAGGAGGTTGATCCAAAGCCCAGCCCAGGATTAACCCCAGCAGGAGAGAGTCAGAAAGAAGAAGAATGTGCGGGCAGCTTGTAATGGAAGCATGAAAGGGCTTCTGTTTTCTCTGCAAACTAAGATGCAAGGCCATGTAGGAGGGAGACTGAGGGGGACAGAGGTTTCAGTAGAGGAGGCTTAAGCCTAGAAGGTTTTGAAATTGTCTTTGGGGAGAGTGGAAGAAGGAGTAAACCAGTAGAATGGAGTAGAATTTCCCAGCCATGCTGGCTACACTGAAGATAGAGAGCATGAATTCAGAGAGAAATCAAGCTCTGTTTGATTAGGGGTAGTGTGATTAGTAGGCAGCAGCAATAAAGAGAGGGAGCGTGGAGGAGCTCTGAAAATTCTCTTGGATTGGGGATGCGGCCTGCTTCTTGTGCATCTCTCCATGGTGTTCAGTGAGGAACTAAATCTCCATCCTAAAAAGATTCTGAAACTTTATTTAAAGCCAAGGTAAGGCTTCCTGGGAAGTAAGAGACAGACTTTGATCAAATTCCTCCTTTAGCACTTTCTAGATGAGAGACTACAGCAAATTGCCTTATCTTTCTGAGCCTCAGTTCCCCTATTTGAAAAGGAGAAAAAGAGATGTTACCATGCAGGGTCTTTGTAGGAACAAATGAAGTTAATAAACATGGAGCATTTCACTCAGAGGCTGGTGCGCAGCAGCAAGTGCTCTGAAAATGTGTTGGGGTCCAGCCCCAACAGGTCCAGGGGTCCCCAAAGGTGTGGACGGAGTCGGAGAAGAAGGAAGGACTGAGAGGCAGCATTCAGGTGATCATCATAGCCAGGTTCTAGTTCGGATCTCCAACCAAGTTCTGGTCAGGATCTCCAACCAAGTTCTGGTGCCATGTTCTCTCCAGGTTCTGTCTCTAGGTTCTGTCTCTAGGTTCTGTCCCGAGGTTCTGTTTCTAGGTTCTCTCTTGTTACATCTGTATTTATACTAGCTGATTCCAATCCTATCAATCTCTATTCCAAAGGTTAGGGCGTTTCTTATCTCCATTCCAGGGAGTAAAGATTATGTAGCTTAAACGTGATTGTTTGTAGTTAAAGTGATTAACTACCCGCCTGGCACTTAGTTAAGGGGTTTTATCCCCTCCCTAACCTCAGGGAAAAATCCCTACCTGGGGAAACAACCCTTCTCCGAGAGGTGACCTTGGTTAAAACACATAGCGCCAAGAAGGGGAGCAAACATATTAAGAACAGTATGCCATATATGCCAGGTCCCTTGAAACAGCAAGGATGGACCGGCTCCCGGCAAAAATGGTGTGAAGCTCGCCTGTGTCTGGTGGGAAATCACTGTGCCTTCCCACCTCCCAGGCAAATGGGCCTCTTGTCTCCTGGCAGAGATGATCTCCAGGCTTAGGACCATTTGGGAGGCACCCAGAAGAAGGGAGATAAGACTTCTGCTAAAATAATAATTTTTAAGAAAAAAGTAAGATCATGACTCTCATCTATACTAATAAAAGGGTAATATGCTAATTAGAGTGGGTCGACCGGCCATCTTCCAGATGTCTGACTTCCTTCCAGACAAAGCCATAGTAGTCGGGCTGAGGCAGAGGCAGTTAGGGGCAATCAGGCAGGAGGGGAGGGCAGTTGGGGGCAAGACCAGGCCAGCAGGAGAGGGCCATTGGGGCTAGATCAGGATGGCAGGGGAGGGCAATTAGGGGTGATCAGGCAGGTAGAGGCAGTTGGGGGCAACCAGGCTGGCAGGGGAGGGCAGTTGGGGGCAAGATCAGGCTGGCAGGGGAGGGCAGTTGGGGCGAGATCAGGATGGCAGGGGAGGGCAATTAGTGGTGATCAGGCACGTAGCGGCAGTTAGGGGTGATCAGGCTGGCAGGGGAGGGCTGTTGGAGGTGAGATCAAGCTGGCAGGGGAGGGCAGTTGGGGGCAACCAGGCTAGCAGGGGAGGGCAGTTGGGGGTGAGATCAGGTCAGCAGGGGATGGTAGTTGGGAGCGAGATCAGTCTGGTAGGGGAGGGCAGTTGGGGGCAACCAGGCTGTCAAGGGAGAGCAGTTGGGGGTGATATCAGGCCAGCAAGGGAGGGCAGTTGGGGGTGAGATCAGGTCAGCAGGGGATGGTAGTTGGGGGCGAGATCAGTCTGGTAGGGGAGGGCAGTTGGGGGCGAGATCAGGCTGGCAGGGGAGGGCAGTTGGGGGCAACCAGGCTGGCAGGGGAGGGCAGTTGGGGGTTATATCAGGCCAGCAGAGGAGGGCAGTTGGGGGTGATCAGGCAGGCAGAGGCAGTTGGGGGTGAGACCAGGCTGGCAGGCAGAGGCAGTTAGGAGTGATCAGGCCAGCAGGTGAGAGCAGTTAGGGTGAGTACAGGCCAGCAGGGAGGGCAGTTCGGGGTGATCAGGCAGGCAGAGGCAGTTAGGGGCGATCAGGCAGGTCCCACAATCAGGTCCCACAGTCTGGGACCACTGACAGCAGTTGGGAGTCAGTGGTCCCAGATTGTGAGAGGGATGCCCCAAGGAGTACCCAATTGGAGAGGGTGCAGGCTGGGCTGAGGGAACCCCCACTTCGTGCATGAATTTCGTGCACTGGGCCACTAGTATAGATATAAAAATGAACATAGGTTAAGCAGTCTATTTTATTCATATGAGAAAACCAGGCAGATGTTCTAACCAATTCAGAGGAAAAGTAAAAATAGAACAAAGGAATGAAATTTTTTTCTGTGAGATGGGAAGGAGGCGGGGGGCAGTCAGTCGAAACTACTGGGCAAGATTGAGTGAGCACGTCTCTGGTTAACTGCAGTTTACAGAGTTGTAAAACAGCTTCCGGAGATTCAGACTCTGATGAAGAGAAGGGTGTTCTGTAGACAATGCATCGTCTTTCACTGAGCACGGCATTCTTTCCCTACACCTCCAGATCGCTGTGTCCCCTCTGCCAGGGCTGAGAGGAGGTGACCACACTCAAGAAAGCCTTTCCGAGTCCTCCTCAGGCACACCCACCCTCCTTCCTCTCCTTCCATAGGTGGCCTACACCTCTGGCTGTTCCTTTAACACTTTTGTCCCAGGCAGCTCCATGATAGTGCTTCCTGTGATACTGATCTGTAACTGACATCTTTCTTTCATTGTCCTTCCTCATTGTCTACCTTCTCTACCTTTTGTCCTGGTTGGTTACCCCCTGCTATTTTGTGTCTGTTTCTATGACTGAGCAAAGTGAATCCCACACAGAGGGCAGCTGGCACCCAGAAGTCACTGGGGGAATAGCTGTTGCTTTCATAAATGCTGCCTGGGAGAAGCTCATTCTCTCCCTACGCTGGGGAATTCCTCCTGACAGCAGCTCCCACCTCCCTCATGGCACAGGGCAGCCTTTTGTGCACCTGGGCTGAGTCTGGGCAACGGAAAACAAAAGGTGGTTTTCTTATTGAGAAGATAGCTTTTTATAGAGAAGGGGCTCATGCTGTGAAGTTTCAGCAGATCTATTCAGGCGTGCATGTGCCAGGCATCATTAGGAGAGTCAACAGGAAAACCATATATAGCTCAACATGCATCTTTAAATAAATTAGATTCTGACTTTAAGTGTAAGAATGTTTCTGAGACTCAGTTTAGTCCTTGTTGTGCCCAGCGGCTCCATGGGACAAGAAGGCCCAGTGGCTTCCTTAGGTTGGAGAGAGAAAACCTAGGTCCTGTGTGTAGCCATAGTGTGTGCTGACTGGACTTTAAACAGACAATCATATCACTTAATGGGGCTTTTCTTGAGATAATAGCTGTTGCTACTTATTAAATACTGTCACTGTCTAAGAGCCCCTCCTTTCACAGTGAGAATCGTGCTTCTAACAACCTCAGCACATTTATTTATTTGCTCGTATCTATAATACATCTAAAATGTTTTGCAAATTGCTTCACACATCTCTACATAAAACATACCTGCTAAAGAGAGTTCAGGATTTGTTTGGAGTTCTCACATCTCGCCCAAGACTGAGGTCAAATTATATGTACCTAAGTTACCTGGATTAGTCCTTCTGTTTCTCTTCACAAAATTATTGAATTCATTTGAAATTCAGTTGTATTCATTTTCTTTCAGTTTTAGATTTTTCTTTTCATTTGTCTTAATATATGCAGAATATAACATGCTTCCAAAATTCAAAACTATTCTAAAAGGTATACTCAGAGAAGGGTCACCCCCTCCCA